AAGCTGCATTTCATTTGTCTTCATGTTTCTATCGTCCTTGTATGTGCACCATACCATTTCAACTGAGCTTTCCGTTGGAGGTCAAAATGGCAGCGCAAAAGTTGGAATTTTTGCTTACCACCTATTGCAATACCAAATGTATTGCTTGAGAAAACAAAAAGATCCAACGTAATCACTTTACAGAGAAAGGAAAGGGCTACCAGGAAGGGTAAACATGACAGCTGGATCGTTACGTTACTATAAGTTACAAAGCGACAAGTACGGATAATATAGGAAAAAGGCTGACCTTCATGCCAATGCTGTATCTGACAACATGAAGGAGGTTCAGAGGTTCCTATATGATATGAACTAAGGAATAACATGATGATTCTTTGCTGGTAAACATGGAAAGGATTACAGTGAAGATGATTGGTGATGTGAAACAGAGTTTCAGTTAGCGTAAATGACCATATTCGGCGCTCCTAAGTCGATCACATCACCAGTGTTGCGTTCCAGTGCGTCCAACATACTAAAACATTGACGGTGAAGACGTGATACTGTCAGCAACATAGTGAAAGCAGGGCCTGAAAGGTCTTATTTAGCGGGCCTTCTGTACAAGAAAAACGTCGGCTCCAGCCTGTCTGTGTGTTGTAGCAGATACTGTTCGACGATAACTGTAATAATTTGACCGTCACAAAAATTCGAATGCGGACAGAAAAAGGAAAAGATAAAGGCTCAAGGTCGTTTCCCACTTGGCGTCTTGTCACGCGTGCGATATAGAAATGCATGCAGGATGCTCAAGATTTTCAGGCTTGCGTATTGTGCGTTCGTAACTGCGTTGATAAATCGCCAATGCGTGTAGTTAGTGGCGTAGCTACCGAATGTGCCGGCGGTGCGACTGCACCGGGGCCCACGGGCTATAGGGGCCCAGACGCCGAGCTACGAAGAGGGGGGGGGGAGGCGTTAGCTGAGAGCCCCTTGGCATTGGGACGAGGTGAGCCAGCAGCCGAAAAGGAAGGTCAAAAGGAATAAAAGGAATTCAACGCGACACTGCAGAGACATCTCGCAATTGGGACGCCGCTTCGTGTGATTAAATGAAGTGGTGGCCACTTTCAATACCATTCACCCAGGGCAAGATTAGGGAGAGGTTAAGGGGGCTGTTGCCCCGGGCCCCACTATTCCAGGGGGCCCTCGAAGGAAATTAAACACGTTAAGTATTTGCGTAAAGTAGCAAGGGGGGGGGGGGACCAAGAATCCTCTTGCCCCTGGCCTCGCAACATCCAGGAGGGTTATTTCCTGTGAAATAGATATTCAGGGTTTTCACACCAGACGAAAAATGAATAAGGCGATAGGACGGAGGGTGGTGAGAGATAAGGGGGGGGGGGGGGGCTGGGAACTAACAAGGAACACTATCCAAGTGATAATTTCAGATTTTCACCAAACTTTGGTCATTGAAAGGGCTCTCAAAACGAGGTCAAACGGCACCAAAACAGCTGCAGCTGAGAAACAGGTTTAGCTTCATAACTGGCTTTCTCAATTTTCAGTGATACATGATTCACGTCATCATCATGATCATGAGTCACGGCCCTATTTTCTTTGACTATAACTTTCAAAGGGAAAGTCAGATTCAGGTGATATTTGACAGAGAGGTTCTCCAGTGAAGGAGGTTTTTTTCTATGTCGCTAGTTGGCGCTGCATGCTGAGACAGAGGGCGATGATGTCGACAGCAGCGTCACTTATCTACTCGATATGTCATTTTTTAGCCACTTAAAAAAATTCGTTCAGACCTATGAATCTCTCTGCCAATTATCATCTGCATCCGAGAGTTCTTTCAAAAGATATGGTCAAACAAAGTTTGGCCTAACAATCGAACTTTTTTTTAATCATAGCTTTTAAAGGAAAAGTCAGATGCAGCTGATGTTTGACAGATGTTTATGGGTCCATGACTTATTCATTCCCTTACCCAGCACATGGTTCTACATGTAGACAGGTGGCGCTATGGTGGCATTTGCAAAGGCAAGAGACAGTGAATAGGAATTTCCTACATAAAGGAATACATCTAGCATTCACTTCACTCCCACCAAGAGATGAAACTCTCAGTGCAGTAACGTCTCGTGTTGATGTGCTCTTACTACGTCACTATAAGACATAACATTGAATCAACATTGATTCAACGTTGGTTCAACGTCTGGATCAGCGTTGAATCAATGTTGTTTCAATGGTATGTGCTACTAGGGGTATTACCAACAAAGAAACTCTGTAAGCAGAGCCCTCGTGCTACTTCATATTTCACCTTCGTGTATGCAATCACTGCGCCCTCTGTCAATAGGTACAAATATGTGTCAGGCAAGGGAACGAATAGGTCACAGACCCAATAACATCTCTGTCAAATATCAGCCACATCTGACTTTTCCTTTGAAAGTTATGATAAAAAAGTTCAATTGTTAGGCCAAAATCCAATTTTGTTTGAACATATCTTTTGAAAGAACTCTCGGATGCAGATGATAATTGGCAGAGAGATTCATAGGCCTGAACGAATTTTTTACGGTGGCTAAAAAATGACATACAGTATCTAGTAGGTAAGTGGCACTGCTGTCGACATCATCGCCCTCTATCGGCATGCAGCGCCAACTAGCGATATGAAAAAAACCTCCTTCACTGAAGAACCTTTCTGTCAAATATCACCTGAATCTGACTTTCCCTTTGAAAGTTATAGTCAAAGAAAATAGGGCCGTGACTATAATAATCATGTATCACTGAAAATTGATAGAGTCAATTATGAGGCTAAACCTGTTTCTCAGCAGCAAGTTTGGTGCCGTTTGACTTCGTTTTGAGAGCCCTTTCAATGACCAAAGTTTGGTGAAAATACTTGGAAAATCACTTGGGTAGTGTCCCTTGTAAGAAACAGGCACCCCCTATGAAAATTTTCTGTATCCGTGTCACTGCCCTCCACACTGACCTCCAACCGACGACGATTTAAGTGCTACCGGAGAAAACCTAGCAAAAAAATGACTCCCATATAATTCAATAGTAAGAAATTGGACAGCGGGCCCCGTTTCATTACTTGCACCAGGGCTCATGCCAACCACGCTACGCCACTGCGTGTAGTCACATAGATATGACACCATTACGGCGCACTTCCTCTCCTAAAACTTATTGTTTGTATACATGCTTGTAGACGTCCCGAATTGAACTGATCCCAATTCCACACGAAACCCTTGGATGCAAGTGGACATGTGCACAAGTGCGTGTGCACGCGTTCGTCTCCCTACCTGTCCAAGCATCGACGCAGAGGACGCTAAGTGTGATACGCCCTTAAGGCCCGAAAGCAGAAACTTCCTTCAGTTACCGGTCCTTTAAGAACCCATAGGAGAAAACGAGCTCTTCAGCCTATTTTTATATTCACTATTTTTCACTCACTATTCACTATTCACGAGAGTCACTATTTTTATATTTTCCCACCACGAGAAATGCATCGAAAATCGCTTATCATGCGTCTTTCGCCTATCGAAATGCGTCTTTCACCTGATGACGCGGAGCCTTTGGAAGCTCTCTTTCCTCCATTCTCCACAATTGGTGGGGAGAGTAGTGAATTCCGTGGAGAAGGGAGAGGAGAGGAGAGAAGTGAGGAGAGGAGGAGGGAGGGGTGGTAGAAGGAGAAAGTCTTTGAAAATTGGTCTTCACAATCCTAGGTAGGTAGGGCGAAGGAGGGACGACCATCCACTCCATTATAAGCTGCTCTCCACGAATTTCCGAATTTCATATTTTATTTTGACGAATTTGTAATTGGATACAAATTTTTGAAAATAATCGCGAGTCCCATGTATCTGAGTCTTGGTAAAAATTTAGGGATTTACTACTGTTTTGATACTACTGATACTACTGCTTTGAAGCAGTAGTATTAAACGCCGATAATAATAATGGTAATAATAAAACAAAGTTCACACTCAGACTGACACCTCCTTTGAGAAACCTCCTTTTCTTCCCACAGCAAAGTGGCCTGCTAATTAAAGTAATATTACAGAATCATATTGTACCTCTTACTGCCATTGAAATCAATGGTAGTAAGATATTGTTTTATTTTTTAACGCTGCAAGTTAGAATTTGAATTTGCAAGAAGTTGAATTAAAGTTATACAGAGCCTCAACCCTGTAACTATCAGAACCCAGATGGTCATACTTTAAACTCTTTGTTTCACCCTTCATTTTCTAAGAACAATTAAAAACAAACTTACATACAATACATCGAGTATCGGACTTTACAAGTTAACGGCGCAGCCTACACGAACAGATAAATGGTTGCATCACGGTCTATTGGACCCAGAACGGTAGTTACAGGGTTAACACGAAGTTCAGGGGAAAAACACGGAAGGTCAAGAAGTAGCGCGCAGGACGAATAACATCCATCTTTCTTACATCGCACTGTCGAGACTCTTTAAAAGAGTCGCTGCATATCGCATACAGAATAAAAGGCAAGAGAGCTTTCCGGGATATCGGCACGGATGCAATAAACAATTAAAAGGGGAAAAATCATTAAAGTTCGGATGAGCGTTCCTTTTTCGGAATGGGACATTAGGCAAATAGGATGCCAAAAAAAGAGATGAAATTAAATTCATGAGGAATGGGCTAGGAGGAGTCCATCGTGGTGCATATCAAATCTGCGAATGGGAAATTCCCCTTTGAAATGCAGAGAGCCAATAGAAAATGAGGACGTGGGCCAATGCGGGGGAGATGTCTCCCAGGGTTTTTCCCAAATAACCTCACACCGCATCATCCTTAATCCGCTATCAGGGTCCAACAGGGTTAAGGAAGTGTACGCACATGAATGAGAATACCTAGACAGGAGAATATTGATAGAGTATAGGCGAATACATAATGAAGATTGGGAAAGACCCTTAGGCCTGGGGAAAACCCAGCTTTCGAGCTTTTGGAAGAGGAAACTCTACCCGAATGTGTCTATAAAAACAGGGGAGGATTTTTCCGGTCGGTGGTCAGTCTTAGCAAGTTCCTCTTGTGCTCACCATGGTCACGGTCACGGTCATCTTGGCGATTCTCCCCGTTTTGGGGGCAGGCCGAGCATTCGGCCTCTTCTTTCCTCCACACTTCTTAGATGAGCATTTCTCCACACTTCAAGTTCCCGACTTCTCCAATGTAAGTGGAAAACTTCGAGGAAAACTTACTTCGTAATAGGTAAACATCCAAACATTTTTGGTTGAGGTTTTCTTATATTTCTGACGAACAACTCGACCAATTGCTATAGATTAAAATCCTGTGCATCCATTACATTTCCTATATTGCCCCCTTTCCATATTTGGGTTACCATAGAAATTCTTCGAATTTATAAGTGCTAAGTAATCTTCATTATAACTAAGTGAGCAGTCAGCTGTGCGCAAATTATAAATCTCTTCACAAACAAGAGCCATTGAATAGTCCAAGCAGAAAATTAATGGTCTGATTAAATCATGAACCTTTGACCGGTCTCAAACAAATGATTTGAATAATGTAAAACTGGTTGATACGATTTGTCATTTAAGTAACTGGTTTAAATCACGTCAAAACAATGTTTTGGCATGATACAAACCGGTTATTTAAATGGCGAATGCAAGACGCCCATATCATAGTAGAATGTTCAAGTTCCATCTCCTGTCACATGAATAGCCTTTTTTGCATGTTTACGTTTTGCATCAAAACGAAATTACAAAGTAAAATTACATCTCTATTTTACTTCTAAATTAAATAATGCACAGACTGACTTGCCATTAATAATGCAAATAAAATCTCAGTGGAACGTGAACCAAGTTTAAATTAAATATGAGTAGATGTTTCCCTACTTTCGGGACAAAATACTGTAAAATATTTACGTAAATGGGTCTCGATTCATTATTCCTCAATATCCCAGTTGTTTTTTTTGTGTTCTTCGTAATCTACTGCGAGAAATATAAAGGACTGCTTCACGACGCACCCATGTGATGAAAAAGTACTGAAAGTGTATAACAGCAATCAATCCGCTGTTTGGATGATTACTTGCAAAAGAAAAGGGATTTGCCAATGCTATAGAGTCAATCTTCAGGTAAATATTGCTTGAAATTCACCTCGTTTCCTAAGGTCCTCATCTTTTCACGAATGGGTTAATTTGGGGGGCAATTAGTTCCTCCCTAAATTAGATCAGATTTTGAATTTTAGTGAACCAGAGAACAAAAGATGTTGAATATCACTGAACTTGAATTCACTTGGATATTGCAAACAATTTCTCTTTTGTCCTAAAAAAAAAAACTTTTTTTTTAACGCATTACTTATCTATATATTGCATGCACTGATCGATGGACATTATTAAGCTCGATGTGGATGCCATTCTTCTCCATAGACGCTGTCCTAAGACTCAAAGTCTTAGGAGATTGGCAGTTACGTTCTCTAAGAGATATCCCCAGATGAATGAATCAGGTGGAGAATTACGAACTATAATATATTTTTGGACCACCTCTATACCACATTATTTCCTATAGGACCATTACATGCCGTCTTCCCTCAACGACGCAATGTGTAAGAGACTGGTCTCTTTAATTGTTATGGAAAGCGATTAATTCATGAGATTCTTGCTGTTTGATTGACTTATTCTTTTGGATTTTGCAGTAAACAATTTCGATGTTTGACGATATCGGTTAACATTAATATCTTCGTACACGTGTTTTGCTGACTTACTGAAGTATGGAATTCGCGTATGACACGATCATATGGCCCAAAGATTTGTTTGATTTTCTTGATTCAGTTCAACTCGACGGTGGAGGAAGTGGAGGCCGTTAAGGCGGAATTTCGAGCCTTATATCCATCCCTCCAAGACTTCTCTTTACCTACACTTTGGAACTTCCACGTCTCCCGTGAGTTATTTCCCTCCATACAAAGATGTTTGTGATTGGCGGCATGTTCCCGTTCGTACCTCAATCCGACATTAGGTTCGGGATATAATTACTAATAGGAATCAACTAATTCATCGAAGTTAATGCGCACAATGACCACCTCCATTTAAAAAAACCAGTTGTTCTCCTTCGACTTCCTATAAGGCTTAATTCTTAGACTACAGTTAGTTTCTGCAGCGGTAAACCGAGCTACAGCACTCCTTCGCATGATTACAGTTGTCGAATATATAGTGAAAAGGGGGGGGGGGGGGAATATTAACAGTATTCCCATTGCTGTGTTTTGGGTCAATCTTCGAGAGGTACGATGCAAAAAGGGACTCTCAAGCAGCATATCTTAGCACGCGACAATCTGACAAGCCGTTTCTATTCATAGAAGGGGCTGTAACAATTCAAACACACCTTAACTTCGGATTCCTGGTACTGTATGAGAAAGCAGATTTGCGAAGTAAACCTACCAATCAGACCTATCTAAAGAGGCTAAAGCGAACGAGTTCTTGAGGCGAGGAAACGATCTGGAGTTCCTCATTCGGACACATCCCACAAATTACTCTGACCTTGGAGCGGTGCAATGCGGGACATAATAATCTAAAGATCCAAATAGGGTCCAATTAGGTATGTCGGTTGAGTGTGTAATCCCGTTCGAGAGGAGACTGTAACGGAAAAACCCTATTACAGTTGCCAATGGCCGAACACCTCCGTAACTAACCAATCAGGAGGAAGGAATCCTCCGCGTTCCCTCTCCAGGATTCCCATTGGTTTATCTGTCTATCCTCCCCCCAACCCAGACTTTCGAGTCATTGCCAAATTTGTCCTTTCTCCACTCCAGCCTTAATTGCGATAGTTATCGCAATTAGTAGAAAGCCTACTGTCGCTAAGCGAAATTCCTATGCTGTACGCGATGTACTTGTACCTGAATTCCTTTTTATTTTCTCTCCCCATCCCAAAACCGCGCGTTTAACAAGAGTGGGATTAGTACTAAGAATCTTCTGTTGTTAACCACTCGCATTTCTGTCACTATCTCCTCCACTACTCCGTTGAGCTAACTGCTGGCTCCATTGAAAAATCGTGGATGCGTGTTGTACGCGCCAACACACTTTAAAATGGTCGCCTCTGTGTCCTGGGTTGTAAATTGTTCTTGCTTCTATTCTGTTCCCAATGCACACAATTATCTCCCAGTGTATGCTGTCTCTCAATTATGAAATGCCTTCCATTTCCCTTATATACTGGCTTTACAAACATTAACAGAGTTTTAACTCATTAAATCACAGTTGGATCATAAAGAGTAATGACTTCCCTCGTGTTCTTGATGATCAAACCAAGAAATAAAATATCAGAGCAATTGTTACACCTGAATGACCACCGGATACAGGAGATGAGATTGCATTTTCTCTATAGACAGCAACAGCTAATGACCATATCCTGCACACTTCAAACAGGTCTTAACAAAACTAGCTACTTAGTTACGCCTCCAGTCAGTCTGCTTATATGAAAAACTTGTTCAAAAGTCTTCCGGGAGAATTTCAGCCGTTGATTCTTCGTCGGAAATACAAATTTCTTCCATCAAAATTTCTTGTTCTTTTTTTAAAGGCTTTCTTCTAAGGCTTTCCCTTAATCAGTTTGCCTTACGTTCACGCCTGCCCAATGTTGCACCTTGATGATATCGACGCCATGTAGAAGAAGCTGTGTGATAACAGGGCGATTTTACGGAATATCACTTGAGCAAGAGGTGGTGAGTGCCAGGTGTTCAAGACAGCTGGACAGGCGCTCAGCTGCCTCGTACACCTCCGTATACGTTGTCTCTCCACCTCGACCCTCAGTTGTCCCCATACTAAGGTCTAGGCACGGACACGATAATGTCCGAGGGAAAGAGACGGTGGCGGAAGAGCAAAGGTGCAAGTATGACTGCATGTGTGCATCTGCACATCCAGAAGGATTTAATACCTAGAGTAAGGGTCGGGTCATTACGCCACCACTTTCAACGACAACGATGAAACATGCGCGGTTCAGCAAACGCTGTCACGCGTAATCTGTGAAGATAAAGTCCGGTGACGGACCCACAACCTCAATTCAGGAACGTGAACCGAGAAACGAAAACCGTGACTCACTCGCTGCAACTGGAAAAAAGGCTATCTTGCTAGGAATAAACTTTTTTAACACATTCACTGCCAGACATTTAAATGGCTCAAGCCGGCATTGGCGCTGGGAGAACGACTTCACGAAAACGGCTATTGCCGTGATTGGCAGCGAATGTATTAGTAAGATACTTTTACTAATTATTAGTAAGATGCCACAACAGACTCCTCGTTCTGACATCCGTCACGTTCAACAGATGAAAAAGCAAACTGGGCGAATAAGTCACGGAATGACCAAATTTTCCTTCAATCCTCTGCGCGCACAGGTTTCCACTCTCACTTACGAGGGCGGAAACTTGACCATTGAATATTTTCGAGCCAACTCATATTTGCCTATATCCAATCTTGTGCGATGCCTAAGAGCCAAATTGCATTAGATTTCGAAATAGCATGGAACAGCAAACTTCAAAAACCATTAACCCCCTAAGTGGGTAGGACGTATATATCCGTCATGGAGAAATGCTCCTCAGGAGGGTTTGACATTTTTTCCCGTCCCGTTATATTTCGAGTTTGAGTTAATTATGAATTCGTATCTCGAAATACGAGTATAAACTCGAAAAGAGTGGTACGTTTATTACACAAGCACGATTTGTTATTCTCACGAAAATAAATTCTGACTCTGGGGGTAGGCTTCTGTCCTATAAATTTCCCACTAATTATTTCCGTTTACCCAATAAAAGCTATTAAACGAAAATAGTCATTGCTCCGTTACAATACTGAGGCTAATGTCTTCAATGATCTAATTAGTCTTCCTTTGCGAGGCCGCAGGGTAGGAAGTGTCGCAAGTTTCATTTCAGTCCCAACCTCTGTTTAATGTCTCTATTATTTGGCCCAAGTAGGGATCGATTTTTGAGAAGTTGTCGTCTGCGCATGATGCCATTACAACTACATCATATTTGCTTTCCGTCCATTGCTTGCATTAGAGCATACATATCTTAAGCCATCCGCAACATAGCACATGTGCAATTCGACTTCTGAAAGCAATTTCTGCTTATAGGAAAGGTCCCTTTAGACATTCCTATACATCAGATCCAGAGGAATCACATGGTCAAAGAATATTCTCGAAAAGCCACTCCCTTTAAACTGAAAACCAATGGTAAATCATGTTTTTGAGAACATAGCAAGGGTAATTGAAAAATACGAGGTGGGACAATAAAGTTCCAGGACTGATTTTTTTGTGAGTCTGTCAATATCACAAAAATTATTTTCATTCCATGGACTAATAGATTAAACTGTTGGGCAGTGTAGTGTCAGTCCTCATCTGACTAGCATCTTGAATGAGAGTTTGGCTGGCAATGTAGTAACTCAGTGTGTAAGGGCGTCTGTCATATTCCCAGAGTGAAGCAATGCTGTATCACATTTTGTCTCAAACCGGTCAATACAGCTGCAGCGATCCATCAAATGTTGCAAGAAGTGTCTTGAATAATTGTCTTGTCACACTTCAAGAATCTTGAATAGTTTTCAAGGTTTTCAGCTAGTAAAAAATAATGATTGGTTCAGCTATCCCTTGGGTGAATGGTTGGGGTTGAGGTGGATCTGAGTGTCTTCGCTACTTGCTAAAGGCCTTGAAGGTCATTCAAAATTATTGGAGCATAACAAGGAACTTTTCAAAACACTTCTGCAACATTTATGGATTACTGCAACTGTATTGACCGGTTTGAGACAAAATGTGATACAGCATTGCTTCACTCTGGGAATATGACGGACGCCTTACACACTGAGTTACTACATTGCCAGCCAAACTCTCATTCAAGATGCTAGTCAGGTGAGGACTGACACGACACTGCCCAACAGTTTAATCTATTAGTCCATGGAATGAAAATAAATTTTTTGCGATATTGACAGACTCACAAAAAAACCAGTCCTGGAGCTTTATTGCCACACCTCGTAGATATCAGCATATAAGAAAACCAAGAATCACAGAGGCAGAAAACCAGAAGTCATGCGAAACTTTAGACGCTACTCACCTCTCCTTCATAACATGGTATTGGTAGAAAAAAAATCGTCCGTCAAAAATCGTCCTTTCCTTCCCAGTTTGATGCTTTTTCGAAAAAAAGGTAGAATGGTTCACTAGCTGATCCTTTGAACGTTGTCACTCTCCTCGCTTCTCTCAGAGGTGACCGTTGCAGGCCAAAGTAGAGCAGAACAAGAGCTTCACCGAATTCTGACATTCTACATCGGCCTACCATTTGATTTTGATGATAGCAGAGGATGATGGCAATAATAACCACACGTCCTAAAATAAGTTCGCTATCTTATGATATCACACAACAGAGTTTCGGAGATGGGTAAGGTATTCTAGCTAGTAGTACTCGTTGATTTCGACCTTTGCTGCATCGTGAGAGACTACATGAGGGTTCTTGACCATATAACCCTGCCTTGCCTTTTGTACTGTCCAAATCAGATCGTCTTGCCTTATTCTCGAGTACGACTCCCCCTTGTAAACTTAAACACCTAACACCCTTTGAGTTGTTGCTTGATAAACTCATGGGATTGTTCTGGTTGCTGCACATGTTTTTGACATATTGGGTGTCACATTTTAAGCAGCTGCTAAAGGACTGTACCAGTTGTTAGCATAAGGAATCCAGACTGTCACCCCGAGAAGTCATGGGAAAGAATGAGAACGACATCCGTCGCAAAAAGATCGGGTTGTATCTGAGTCGATTTGGAGAAAGACGATTTTTGTGAAAACTTCACACAATTCGGTAAACTTCATTTCCTTTTTCCAAGGTTACGTGTATGAATAAAAGATAATCAGATTTTTACAGCAGCAATTCCTGAATATAATTCCTGGCTAGTTCCCTATCGACGTTCAGGAGGAAAGAGTTTCATTGCCTTTGTCTCACAAAAATGGGATAATTTAAAAAATCTCCAACTTCATCTTTGCAGGGGGAAATTCCAAACAGAGACATGGACATCACATGGAAGTGGACTTCAACCTTCAGGAAAAGGCAAGGGAAGCGGGGAAGGACATCGGAGAACTGGATATCCGGCTAGCCAATTTGAAGGTGAGAATAGAGTCTCATTCCCAGTCCAGCTTCCTCAGTGTCTTCAAGACAACGCTAGGGAGGACAGAGCATGTGACCACATCTCGGATCGAGTCGGGTCAACATGGCTTCGACCTCACACCTACATTTGAAGGATCCAGTCAGAATGCCTCTGGATCCTTGTTCCTCTTTTGTCGACACTGTGAAGTGCTGGAGGCAGATTTTGGCATCCTTGTAGCTCAGAAGGAATATGTGAGGTCAAAGGTGAAACGATCAACCTCGTCCAAGGAGTGCAAGTGCTGCCGTACCTCCATGTTGATTTCCTTTCACAAGATGAAGAAATTCCATTTCATCATTTCACCGAGGGAGTTTGATGCATTCCGGTGTGGGGGTACGTGTCCATATGGTCACAATCCAGCTAACCAGCATGCCATGTTTCAGTACGAAAGACATGAGTATGAAGTAGGAATGGGGGTTGATCCCATCCCTCTACCTTCCTGTGCTCCCACCAAACTCTCTGACCAGCATTACTTCTACATTGACGATCAAGGAAAGTTCTACCGTGGGATGTGGAGGGATGCCATTGTTCAAGAGTGTGCTTGCTCTTGAATGCAGAAGAGGCTGGAGTGATGTCAGCAGAGGCAAGAGACCTGATTGGTCAGCAACTGGCAATGGAACCGATTACACCTCACCCCAGCTGTTGCTTTGAAGTCATGTGACACCCCTGTGAGCTATTGTAGTTCATTCCCATGGTACAAAGGACTCCATCAATGAATTCTTTGTTCATATGTTCTTCATGCCTTCTCCTAACATTATACCCTGGTGGTAAACTTTTTTTGTTCTCCAATCACTTTGGAATTAAATATACAAACCATGGACTCAGAATTGAGCTCTAGGCATATGCTATGCTAAGCAATCTAATATTGCTCAAATTCCTTTACATATGTTCTCTCAAATAGTTCAAACAACTAGTCCTCTTTAGAATAGCTTGGTGGAATCAATATTATTAGTCTCATTTTTTGGGGACTGGAAATGCATGTCAATGAAATGGAGCCCATTTCAATGTCCTTGGGATCTTAATAATCCTACAGATGAATATGGTGGAATAATTGGAGAACAACAACATAATTGATAACAAAGTCAGTTTCTGGATGCCTTGACCATGGTATTCTTCCTAATCACTTTGTGGAAAGGCAGAATGACATTATGTTTTTTTTTTTAAAGCATTTTGAGGGCATTATGAGGACATACAGGGGATGGCAACAAAAAAAAGTTGACAATTTACCAATACAAATTGTAAAAAAAAATTCAGGAATTATAGGATTATAGTTTATGGATTATTTCCTGCCTAGAATACTTAGAACTCACTTGCCTGTCTGATGGGATACCACAATGTTAAAGCTCAAAGTCTGATGAAAATGATCCAAAGAGACATAAATTATGAATTGACTAATTGACCCAACTTTCACTGGTTTTGGCTGCTTTGAGCCAATTTGAGTCACTCTGGGCCAATTTTAACAAACTTGAGGCAATCCGGGATAAATAGTTTGATCAAGTTGAGCCTAGGATTCATGAGGTCACTTAGGATCCCTCTGGGTTACATGGACCAGAGTTTTTGTCAGCTTTAGCATTGTGTTATCCTATCATGTAGGTGGGCAAGACAGTTTCAAATGATCTGTACAGATAACCCATACACTATAATCCTTTAAAATACTTTAATTTAAATAGGCCAAAAGTTGTGGTGGCTGTCACCCCTAACGCTCCAGGCCTACAATGCTATGCCATGAATAGCATTGCATCGTAGGCATAGGCTAGACCATAAAAATTGAAAGAGCCCGAAAGTGATGGTGAATGGTTGTCACCCATCTGCAGCCTAACACGCAAGGCCTACAAGGCTATACCATTCTAGGCCATAGGTTAGGTTATAAAAACTTTGGTATCGAGGTTTTTTTGAAAATTTTTAATGTTTGGTTTGCTGCTTCATATCTTTATGTAAACATTTTCATATTTACATTCATCAGACAGCCAGTGAGTGCAGTGGCCACAGGCCACCAGTGAATCTTGATTTATGGTACACTCTGCATACATTCTTACTGAAGCTATTTCCCAAGATTACTGAGACTGATATGTTCCCCAGAGCCTTTTGAAATTTTGTCCAAATTTGTTTCACTGATTGAAGCAAGTCTTTGAGCAAATGCGAATGAGAAACTGGGTACTGAAAATGCATTGGGAATTCTAGACCCTTTGGAGTGACTAACATCACCTGCTGCACCCTCTAATGAAAAAAAAAAAGGATCAATATTAACATGGCATAAACTATACGAGGTCTGACAATAAAATAACGAGACTGATAGCACTGTAATTCATGTGGCAACACTGGGTTACTGGTGATTGCTGTAATATGTCAGTGCATGTCTTAAGTCTCTGCAATAACAAACTTGTCACAATACTTCTAGTGATTGCAGAGCAGTACCACTTTACCTAAAGTAGTGTTATGGGGCACTCATAAAAAAATGGGTGATAATATCATGAACAAAGAATCAATGTGAAATTTCTAATCAAACTTGGGAAAAAAGAAACTGAAGCCTTTGAAATGTAGAACTTTCCTTTAAAATAAATCGTACTGTCTCTCTATTGATACACAATTCTTCAGCCATCATTCTGACAACAAGACGATGATCACTTCGCACCAGAGTTCTCACATTTTCTATGTTTTCTTCCGATTTTGAAGTTGTCGGACGTCTGTCAAACTAAACTTCTTCCCTTCCTTCAGAAAAGTGTTTACAACATTCAAAGACATTTTGCTCTGGACATAACCTCATTTCTGTACACTTGTTTCAACATTTCAAAGACTTCAGTTGGTTTTTTCCCCAAGTATTATTAGAAATTTCATGTCAATTCTTTGTTCATAATATTCAAATGTTCACCCATTTTTTTGACGAGTGCCCCTAACACTACTTTAGGTAAAGTGATTCTGCTCTGCAATCACTAGAAGTATCACAACAAGTTTGTTACTGCAGATACTTAAGACATGCATTGACATGTTGCAGCAATCGCATTACAGTGTTGTCAGTCTCGTTATTTTATTGTTAGACCTCGTATATACTGATAAATATTGATTTATCAGTTATTAAGCAACCACAGCAAAAAGGCAGTATGGACTCCTCTCCAATTTTAGCATCCAACTTCTTTTGAATAAGTTCTCATAACCTGGCAATGGCATAATGAATCTGAATGAAATTACAAATTACATGTCTCCTGGAACACATGAGGTTATATATAGTACAACAAGTTCTACAATAACAATCATAAGGAGAGCAAAGCAAAGATCCTTTTTGCCATACTCTGTAGCATTGCTTCTAAAACTGACAAGCAAATCACTTCTCAAAAGTTCAACTCCACTCCATTGGAAATTCCATTGCACCAACTCATCCTTGGCAATAACATATTTTGGAAATGGCAGCATTTCAAAATTTAATAAACAGTGACAGTGGATGTAGCCAACAAGAGGCCATCTCACATTTTCATAAAAGAGGTTCACTGGATAAATTTCAACGTCATTTGGCACAAAGTGTTTGGCACCACTCTTAGAGAATCACTCATTTGGGTGGAAAGTGCCAGGCTGAGTTCCTTCATGCCACATTAAGTGAGCATTAATCCTTGTTGCAATGTGAAAACCACTCCTTCAAGAATTCCCCATCCAGCTTTTTTCCTGTTGAAAAGACACAATCTTGGTCAGAGCCAGCAGGAGTCCTTTCCTGGGTTCTAATTTATGGCTTTTATGACTGGTCGAAAAGGAGGTAAAAACAAATATATGGGTTACCATGCATGTATACCTTGTTTCATTCAACAAGCAGGTCAAGAAGAAATCTTCTGAAATGAGTGATGAGTTAGTTCATGCTCTGTATCAGGGTTTGATGAATTAAAAATTCTGGTCTTCCTATTCAATCGTGTCCTTCATGTCCTTGGCCAACACAATAGATAAACATAATATAACAAATGACTCAGGTGCCTATTTTTCAGAGGCTAGAAATGCAATTATCACCAATCTTCTACTACTACCTATCAGCCCACAATATATGAGGATATCAGCCTTGAGAATGCTAAGAAGTTCCCATCTTTGGTGTTGCATATACTTGGCATTGAGAATGCAGAATGGACTCACCAATGAATATGAAAGTAGAAGATGGACTATGCACCTCATCTTGAGGGAACTCTTCCCAGTCATAAAGTTTGTAAACAGATTGGAGTAACACTGGCTTCATCCCTCTGCCTTGGTTTATCACAGCCTAATTCAACATTCATGTCAGTACTTAGCTGCACACCAATCACTCTCTGATCCCTTTTTAAAAACAAGATTAATCACAAGATCTCAAATCCAAGGAGTCCTGCAAGAAGTTGCAACAGTTAGATATCAATCTGGGTTTCTAATCTTTGTCTTACAGTTATGTGAGTTCTAGGACATACACGAAAAGGGATGTCTTGGTTTCCAGATAATAATTTTCCAGAATTTTCCCCCTCCTGGTTTAGCCACAAAAGCATTTGAAGGTTATGAGTAAATGCATGGAAATCCTTCTAGTTCAATGAGACTCATGAAATGGATACATGGTCATTCTTATGCTTGGACAACTGCATTACACTGAAGTTTCTATTGAAGAGCTCTTTGAAAGAAGTCAATGCATAGTTTTGTCCAAAAAAAAAGCTTCAATGCAGCTCTGTCTGCCTTTGCAACACTGTGATCAAAACTGATGCAAAGGTAATCATGCTCACTGTCTGCCCTCTTTCAGTGAAGCTAACAGGTTGGGATTTTGAAAATTCTCAGTTGTAATCTTCAAAGAGCTTCTGTGGTGAAACCAGGAGAGGGGAAATTCTGAAAAAAATTGTATTTAGAAGACAAGGCATAGAAAGATATATCCTAGAACATACATAAATTTAACAATGACCAATATCCAGATATAGCAATTCAAACAGTATGCATTTTTTTCTCTGCACCCATCCATCAGCTATGGCTGATGTAGTCCATATGGGGGACTTTACCTTCATACGGAGAACATGCATATCTGTTGCGAGGAAATCAGTGCCTTCATCAGGAGCCCAGAGGAGGGCTTCCAAGCGTTTCTCAACCTTTCCCAAGTCCAGGCACCCTGCTATGTCAAATGTCACTGTACCCACACTGGAATCCATATGGTGACCTGAGCCCATCATGGATCTCACCAGTTCTCCTTTCTTCTCAAGAAAGGATTCAAGACTGGAAGATGTTACAGCACATAATAAAAATGGCAACTACATGAGTAAAAAATTAATATGCATTAAAAATGACAAACCTGGAGCAATCATATGCATGAAGATCAAGAATTTTCTCAAGAGGGACTTGACTCTGGGTGCTCTGAAGTAACTCTGCATTCCTATTAATTTTCCTAATAAATGCAGGATAAGCAAGAACCAATGTACAGGTTGAAGGAGGAGACATTGAATTCAATCCAAATCAAGCCTGCCCAACCTAATTTCCACCTTCAATCCTTCCAGCTCCTCTGCATTCACAATGTCCACCTTGTTGAGAAGAATGACATCTCCAACTGCAACCTGCCTGAATAAGGATAAGATGTTGTGAAACTTTTTTCACATTCTGCAGGGTGAGCCAGAAGTACTGACTCACACTTTAAATTGCCATAACTTTGGAACAACTGCATAAATTTTCATCAACATGGGCTAGGCAGCCAAATGATTAAAAATATGTTTAAAAAAACAAACAAAACAAGCTGAATAGTTTCACACAAATGCATTACATTACATCATGCACTCATTACCCATCCAAGTATTACTTACATGTAAGAACACCCATAGATGGTCAGACACCTGTTTGCATGCTCTAAAGCAGCGGTTCCCAAACTGTGGGTCACAAGATGCATCAAAGTGGGTATATTTTCCCAGTATAAAAAATCACTACTTCAGCATATGCTCAGGATAAAGCATGCCCTGCAGCAAAGGTCAATCAATTTTCTTCTCGTCATAATTACTTTGAAAATATCTCATTCTGGATTTGGGTGGGTCGCAAAATGTTCTCTACCCCAGCAAGTGGGTTGCAATTGAAAGAAGTTTGGGAACCACTGCTCTAAAGCACATCATTAGTATGGTGCTGAACTTCTATGCCCTGTAGATGGTAGAGGTCGTGGATAAGATGGGCATACTCCCACAAATCTGGTGGTATTCAGTAGGGTAAAGGCAAGGGCCATTTGATTCAGCAATATGTACTACTTTTTCAAGTGTGTGTACTGGTTTTGAACAACATGGGTGGTTACTGCCTAATATTTTTCCTGTTTTGTCAAACGTTTTGTCCACATGCACAATCATCTGCCATGTTGGCACTGGCTCCCTAAATTCCAGTTGTATTGTGAACTGTGCTAGGGTAACAATGTCTGTTACAGAAAATAATTTGACATATTCAGCTCTTTTCTGAATAGGTAGCCATACACCTGCCATGTTGCTTTATAAGTGGTCAATGTGTTGCTGATGTGGATGACTACCTAACATACTCTGATTTTAAAAAATATGTAACCACTCCAATTTTACAATGCTTTGGAGGAAGTCATGAATGCTTGTCATGCATGTTAGATAAAGGTGGGACACACCATTCTAGCTAAATACATATGCTGCATCGTTAGCTTATGCTGATGAAGAAGAAATGCTGAATTTACCAACATTCAATTAGCACAATCTGAATCAAAGTATCCATTAATTGTTAAGCATGGCAAATGATATTTTGCAGCTATTTTAATCTGAATTAAAAAATAGAAATTTTGACATAATTTCTCAACATGCCTAACTGCTTTTGATTGGGAGCTTCAGCAGCTGGTTGCAAATGCATTAAATGATATGAAGAAGACATCTTTCATCTTCAACTGATAAAAAAAAAATAAAAAATGTAAAAATAAGACAATTCTGGACATGAGAACAATGAAAGTTCATGAATAAAATATTCTAAACTTTCTTTGATAAAAGAGCGGAAAATTAGGCTTTTCTGTGGAAAAAGTTGCAATGGCTTCATAGCAGTGCTCTTCAGATGTGTCTTATTTGCCACGAAAAACCAAGAATTTCATGGCTTTATCTTTATTGCATTTTATTCTAAATGTTGCTCTGGCGTCATATTGGAGCTGAAAAAGGAAAATATTACAGCAAATGTGGAAAATCAAAGATTCAAAATCTTTGATTTGATTGGATACTCCAACTAATCTGTTCCTTTACAGCCATTCTCAAAATCTGTTATCACATTGAGGCCTTCCTTTCTCAGCTGAAGCTTGAAGACATTGCAATCAAGAATACTATATCAAGAACAAAGCCATAAAAAAAACTACTAAACTGCACCAGCAAAGAATGGCCGAAATTTACTACTAAAGTTTGAACACATATTACTTTTTAAGCAAGTCTAGACATTTCAAAACATTAAGAAAATGCCAATTTAGAGTGTTTTCTTGCCAAACAGGATGCTGTTTTCTGAGTCACCTGGTAAGCATTTGAAAAAAGAAAAAAAAAGACATTCATATTGAAAATCTTTCCAAAATGACTAGGAAAAAATATTTGCAGAGCATCCAGAGATTTTTTAAGAACGGAATGGAAATATTGGAAAAATGGAATGACGAGCCAAGGCAATGTACCTGACAGCCTCAACAATGCTTCCATCTTCTTTCTGCTCCCTGAGTTGGCTTAGTCCATGGAAGGAATCCACCAGTGTCACTATTCCATCCAGATATATGTCACTTCCCAAATCTTTGTCCAACCAAAACATCCCTGCTATGGATCCTGAAGGAAGAAAGGCATTTGATGGAAAATAAAAAGGGAAGACTCACTTTCACAGCACATGTAGAAACTAAACACCTCCCATGGAGTGATATACAGGGTGGGCATTCAGCCATTAGGTAAATTGATTGACATAAGGTATCTTTTTCTGAAATTTGGGGTTACTGAAGAAAATTCACACTTTTTTTTTCATTTGTTTCACATTGAAGGAAGTTTCACTAAACCATACTGACCTTGTATGAGTAATTAAGGTGGAGTCAAGTTTGAAACAATGAGATTGCTTCAAATTTTGCTCCACTTCCTGTTTGATAAAGAAAAAGCCTCATTGCCAGAACTAAAATGATGGGATAGCTCTTATTTGCAGCCTTTTGAATCAGGTTTCTCAAATGTGTTTTCCATTCTACTTTCCATTAACACACTTTCACAAAATAATTCAAGTGAGCAGTTAAAGCCTTGCTTGCTATGTGCTGTATATTGTTACCCCATGGTGGGATCACAGCCTTGCTGTTTTTACTGTAAATATGAAAATGGAGGAGGGGTTGATTAGTGAGGCCTTAAGGTTCAATACCAGGATCAGCTAAGCCAGTAGTTTCAAGTAGGATGTAGTCAAATCTGCCTTTTCTTTCCAGCAAGCTCTCTATGGCCTTGACACCAGCATCCCTGGAAAAGAGGTGCAGGGAAGAATTTTAGGTAACTCCTATCTTGTCAAAAATAGAAAGCATAGATGGATATGAAGAAATTAGGAAACAAGTTAACCTGACAGAACAACACAGGCATCCATTGCGCAGCTCCAACCATTCCTCATACAATCCTCCATCTGCATCCCCAATAGAGATGCTCTTCTTCTCCAATGCACTCCCTACCAGATTCACACACAAAATAATGCACTAGCCTTAATTTTGCATCCAGCTCCAAAAGAATATCCAAGGCACTCAGAATGTTGCTGAGTGAATCAGCCATACCCATGTTGCCATAAATAAATATTTGCCTGAAGTTTGATTATAAGTGTTTTTCAGAATCATTCCAAAATGGGATAAGATTTCAATTCTGCAAAAAAAAGTGGCATGCGCAAGGTGTCCCCCCACACCTTGGGCATGCCACTTTGGGGGTCAAAACCTCACCCCCCCTTTGTTACATTTTATAGGTTCAATTCTCAAAAAAATGAATTTTTAGGCCATATATGCAGGGTGGGTCACCAATTTTTCAAATTGGGATTTTCTGGGCATGCTATGACATGCATGTACCAGGTATTACAGACCTGGACAACATCCTTTCATGTGGCTTTGTCATGATTTTGCAGCTGCTACTTGTGGCAAATGGAAAGCCTCACCAAAAATCGTAATGAAGAAATATTGGCAGAAGAGACAAATTCAGAAGCCTTCAGTTAAATCCTTTATGATCCACTGTTGGACTAAGTCTGACATTCTCCCTGGTGTTTCAAATAAAATGGACTGCAAAGGGTTAAGCTTTTGAGACCCAATGTCCAATACAGTAGATTTGGGGTCTGCTATTCTGTGTCAGAGATATTGTTTGTTTTAAAAGGTAATACAATTTTAAATATAAATTTTAGAAATTTGTTCAACCAATTTTTTTTTTTCAAATTTAAAGAAAATATTTGAAAAATTCTTTTAAAATTCTTAATCAAAATCTAAATTTAAACATTTTCACTCAACTGTTTCCTTTTAAAAAGTTCTTCACTCTTTCCAAACCTGTTTGGCACTACTTGTTTACAAGATTATACATGGTCATTCATTTATCTATAACCAAATTTCGCAAATTAAACACTCAAGGATGATATTTCTAGTTAGGGAAGAAATCAAACATATTTTCATTTCAATCTCTCAAAGACCTTACTTACATATGGAATCAGAAGAACTCAAGTACTCATGACATTTAGGGACATTGAATATTTAGTTCTCAATCCTAGACCTGAGACTATAACTTTCAACTTCTCAAAACAAATAGATGCACAATAAACAAATTCATATTTGAAAATGCAGTATGATTTTTATGCAAAATAATTTTTCTTCATGAGAGAGTGTTAAATTTATTCTAAAACCCTGGGAAAAAATCAACCATAAAGAATTGAGTTTCCATTACATTTTTCATAGCTCTAAAAGTCAATATATTTCTAAGAACTACAAGAACTGAGTTTAATTAATCTGTGAATTCCTTTACTACATCAATGGAAATTATACAGAATGATTTCTAAAGTCTGGATACATGCTTGAAATGCTGAAGCCAAGGAATGCCTAATTGACTTCAAGACATACAGTTCAAGGAAATTCCATATTTATCTTTGATATTGACACCTGCATCAAAATCCAGGCTCAATGACAAAGCTATGGCTGTGGTGATCTCATAGTAATGTAGCAGTATTTAGTTGTATTATGTTGCACATTAATGTATTATAGTGATATGAACTATCAATCTCTGAAACCTTAAATTTTTTTAATGGACATGTAATTAATTTTTAAGAGAATGGAAGTTCAATGATGTCAGATGTCAGAAATATAAGCAAACCAAATATTGCTTGTATAACTGAAAATGGTACATAAAATTTCAAGTCAGGAACTCAAGTTTCATATGGGTCCCACATAATTTTAAATCATTCAGAAATTCCTGAAATACAGCATTTCAAATGTTACCCAGTTCTTGCCAATCACCCTATATTGTATCAGGAAACAAAATTGGTAAAACACCTCAATCCAGTCAGTTTTGTAAAAACAGTAAGAGCAACTGAAAAAGACAAAATACCAATAGACTACCAATATGTGGGTCACTCAGAAAGTTTTGAGATACACAAGGAGAATTTGATGAAATTTCATTTCAACATCTACAACTATTCGAAGTGCTCCTCAAAAGACTTCAAACAGCATTTCACCTTGTAAAGCCATCTCTCAGAGCAACTACTTCATTCCTCCTTCCATCTCAGAAACTGATTCCTCACAGGCAATGATGACATCTGGATTTGGGAACCGCTTCCCTTGCAATGAATCTTTGACCCTTGTGAACAAAAGTCATTTCAAGGGTCCTAATAAGGCCTTTAGGCCAGAAGAGTGGCCAGGTGAACAAGAGTTTCTTCCTGTTAGACCACAGTCTTCGTTGCCTTGTTGCTGAAGGAATTGTTGTGAGGCAGGAGGAGGCCCCAGAGCCCAGGGCATGTTCTCTTTTCTTGCACTGTTTGGGAAACTTTGGACAGGCATGGTGTGGTGACTCAGCATTCACTATTAGTCAGTCCTCCAATAAAACTGTCGCCACATGACCACTGACAATAGAGAAAGCCGCAACCACCTTCTTCCCTTCATTGTGGCAGAGATGTCATCATAATGGAACACCCAAACTGCATATTGCCCCTATGTTTCTGGGCCTAACTGGTAAATCCATGACACCTCACCAGTGTCGATGTCAAAGCTTAATTTTGAGTGTTCATCTTGAAAAGTGGAGAACATGTACTCACAAAATTCCTCAGACCCCTTTTGACTCATCTGGCAAGTTGTGGGGGCCCCAAAAGCAAGAGATTTTCCTGACTTGAAAAAATATAAGCAGGATTTCTGCAACATTCCCCGTTCCAATGTTCAGGTACTCCTCAATATCATGGTGTATGCATAATCAACCTCCTTAAATCATAGCCTCCACTTTCTGGATGTTTTCTTCAGTGAAAGCAGTTACAAGTCTTCCACTGAGGGGGTCATCTTCATTGCTGGTTCTTCTCCTTAAACTCGGCAAAGCAGCACAAAACTATGGCTATGGAAGTGCTCTGCCCCAAAACATAATATGGAAAAGGATTAATTTAAAGCACTTATCTGGTAATAGGGAATCATGGTGTGGAAATGCTCCCTGGTCAGCTCCATGGTGCAGACAGAGAATGCCTACATCCCTAACTTAAAAAAAATTCCAGAAAATACAGTTCTACTGGAATTGTGTTGAAACTTGTTCTCAAGGACTAGAAAAAAACATTTTCAACCTATTTAAATCAGTAATCTCTACACCATCTCATTCTTGCACATCTTGAAACTTTCTGAATGACCCTCATATCCAACTCCCAAGAATTCCAATAAAAAATGTATTATACTCATTAGCCCTACTGAAATGAAGCTTCAAAGCCTGATGAGCCAGATAAACTATGCAAGCATGAAAAAAAAACAAAAGAAGTGAAGCAATGATGTTACCTTGTCCAAATTCATTAAGGATGACAGCAATACGCTTGCCATGCTGTTGAGTGAGGACGTAATTCAATAGGGTGGTTTTCCCAGCTCCTAAGTAACCAGTGATAATGGTCAGTGGGACACGATTTTGGCATGGAACCAACTCTGGGACATCTTCTTCATCCATTTCTTCCTTTACAACTCATATTTTCAAGACAGTTACAGGGATTCAAGGCATGAGCAGATGTTGCCTGCTGCTACCAAGAGATGAGTCAAGAACCAAGGACTCCCCTATCTACCTGTCCAAGTGGGTTTCTCCTTTCTTTCTTTTCTCCAACTCATCATGCTTAAAAAATGCAAACATAGATCATGTTTACTTCCCAACAGCAATGCATTAAATTTCAGCAATCTCTAACATAATGGTCATGGATTTCTCTAAGAGATAGGGAATGGATTTCATACTAATGCAAGTTTTTCCTGCTGCCTTTTATGAATATTTAACCCAGATATTACTCAAATAAGTGATTGGCACCACTTAAAAAATGTGTACCAGCATGTGCATATAGGATACATACAACCGAATGAAATAAAGAAGAGATTGAGAGTTGGAAAGAGTGCTTTTTGGAAGAGGAAAATAAAAGTAAGATGCCACCATATCCAAAGAGGAAAGGCTTTAACTGGTGTGTAATACCTGCCCCAATGTATGGTACAGAGACTTGGTCATGGAGAGTCAAGACAGAGACGTTAAAGACCGTGCAGAGGAGCATAGAGAGTTTGAGGCTGAGTAAGCTAAGAGAAAAAATATTTATTTCATCAAGGAATAGACATCAAGAACATCATGGATCCACTCAGGAAAAGCAAGTGAACTCGGGCTGGGAGAAACAATGGGAGTTGACAAATGGGTGAAACTAATTGCCAAATGGCAGACAAGGTATTCTCTCAAGGAAGACCAATTAAACAAGGATAGCATGACCAAATAATAATTTTGAAAGGTCTCAAATGAATTGAAGCCACTCAGGACAGAATGAAGTGGCCCATATAGGGTGATTCAAAATAAATGCTTCATCGTTTTTTATGGGAGAGAGTAAGATTCCTATATTCTAACAAAAATTGAGATTCATAAATTCTTGATATTGGACATATGAGGGGTGATCAAAAAGTTCCAGGACTGAATTTTTTATGATACTGTGGTGATTCTTTCCTACTACTGATGAGCATATCCTTCAAAGTAGTCCTCTTTGGCATCTACACAACATTTTCTGTTTCTTCAGCCACTGGAATAATTTCTCACTCATCTTTTGGGATCACCAGCAGTGCTTGTGGCATGTTCATAATGCTGCTTTAAATATCCTGAAACTTCCTTCCTTTTTCAACTTCAGCAGTCTCTGACCTACATCTGACCTACCTACTGATCCCTGTGCTTCATAAGCCATCCAACTCACTTAACTTAGCTCCTAGCAATTTCTTCTTTTTCTCTTAGCTAAAGAGATTGCTGAGATGAAGGAGATTTCAGGCATTCAAAGCAAAATGGTAAACATGATGTAAGCACTGCTGATGATTCCAAAAGATAAGTGCCCCAGCGATGTTTCCAGTGGCTGAAGAAACATTGGAAAATTTTAGCAATGCCAAAGAGAACTAGTTTGAAGGATATAACCATCAGTAGTCATCAAGAGTCACCACAACATCATAAAAAATTCTGTCCCTGAATTTTTTTATCACCTCCCCCCTTAAAAAAATCTTCATATTGGTAGTAGATTCTTTGGAAGTGGGCATTGCCCCCCAGTTCTCTTATTGATATAGTCACTGGTGGGGCCTTTTTGGCAGTTGAAGGAGCATGTTTAAGAATATTGAATGATTTACATAATCAAGTGCTAAAGGTGCAAGTATTGCTATTGAGAGCAACATTAAGTAATGTTTACCCAAAGGGCAAATGAACTTACTAGTAATGAATCTCCATATCTGTCAACATGCAAGCAGGACCACATTGAATGCATAGGGCATCATGCTATGCAATAGCTGGCACATGAGACAAAGTTAAGATCTTCCTAATGTACAAGGTGCTTCAAAAGTCACTATCACTGTTGAAATAACCACACTGAGCACACTTGTGGCTAGTGTGCTAAGAAAATTGGTATGCAGACCAATATGACCATGGGGAAGGCACTGCACATTATAATGACATAAGGTGGGTATGAGTACAAAAGCCATCATCATAAAACCTGAAGCAGTTTTCAACGAATTGATAAAATGGGTGAGGAAGCTGTATAACCAGCCAACACCTTCAACTATTTCAACACTCAGAACCTTTGAATTTTGGTCCTAGTCAGCAAGATTGCCTGGTCTTACCCCAGACGACTTCGGGCTTTGAGGTTACTTGACCTATTGGAACTGCATTGGACATATATGAACACTTTCCTTCAACATCATGAATATGAGTGGATCCATGTTGTCTAATTGATTCACACAGCTTTGTACCTGTTCAACAATATGCTCCCCACAGCAGCATAAACAGTGGAAGTGACACTTGGAATACCTGGTCCATTAATTTATATTCAAAGAATGGTACTCCTCCCATGAGAAACCCACACGCATGGTACACTCAAAATGCTTTTCTTGCCTAGAAAACTCTCAAAAATAAAAACACTCTTTTGAAATTGTAGACTTAGAGGCTCATGGTTTGAACATAATGTTGGCTATGATGTCATCTGGAGACTGATAACATCTGAATAGCAGATTGCAGACTGCATGGTTATCAAACAGGTATTGTTTAACTTTCAACTTATAATTGTTGCATGTTTTTATGGCATAGTATGTCATGCAGAAATCTGTTTCTGATTTCTTGTGTTTCTCTGCAAACCTGTAGTGGTGTGATTGCAGTATAGCAACCAGGATTCCATACAGCATTCAAGACAAGGGATTTTTTTGCAAGACGTTAGTTCTGCTATGTTGAAAAACAAATTTGAAATTTATTTTGGGATCTGTCTCAAACAGCTTTCTATAAATATAGAAAGCATTCCTTGAACTGGTGTGAATGCCTGTGGGTGACTTTTCTTCCTTTATTTCACTGAGCATCACCTGACTGTAAAGTTCCCGTAAGCCAGTCTCAACAGCTCACAATAACCTACCTCTGTTGTACAGTAGTACAGTACAACACTCGTGAGCTGCCATTTTTGGAAAAATCATGAAGTGTGATATGGCAGTGGTAGTTTTTCTTTAAAAGACCCTATATATCATTGCAGATCTGACATATGAGTGACCATGCAATCTTGACAATGGCTTACCTTTCTTCTAGGCAGAAGGTAAATAGCCAAGGAATATTTGCCACTCTACTAAAGAGTTCTGATTCAACTTTCTCACAGAATGCCTCAATTTTCATGGTTCTATTGCAATTTTACTTTTTAAAAAAAAAACCAAAACAGATAAATTCTTGCCTTCCTCAAAAATGCTGGAATTGCATATTCACTCTTTCATCAAACTCACAACAAAATAAAGAAGTTCATCAGGGCAGCTGATGACCTCTACGGAAATCTGAAACTCCAAAGCATATGTGATAGGGCTCACACAGCTCCTCATTGACAGACAATCCTGGAGGCTGTAGTGTCTCTGAATTATCAATGGGTTCACATTTCTGACAATCCTCACTGATGACCATACAAGACAAAAATATAAAAGTTTACATCCTAGGCATATACATTTAAGGAATTTACTATAAAGTATGAGAATGCCCTAATGAAATTATCTTAGCAAAATAATAGCCCTTCCCATGTCCCTATCCTATTCTCACCATCAAAAACCATATTCACAGCCAAACCTCAAACTTATGCCAAATTGGCACAATGCTTTCTTTCCCTAAGTTTCCAAGTTCACATTCACCAAGCTTCTAATCTTATTTGCTCAAACACCCTTGTCTCATGTATTGCATCTCATCCATGTACCAGGAGATCCAGCAGGGGTTGCACTAGGTTTCTTGCCATAGGGGTCCATGGGACCCTCAGGTCTGATATGGAAGGGTCCTCTGATAATTAAGTGGGTTACTTTCCAAGTGAAGCACAAGGGAATCTTGAAGGGTTCCCCAAAAGTAAAAGTCCAGCAATCAATGTTTATTTGCCAACTTAACATAACCAAGCAGTATGATATTCAATCCAGCAGTCTTAGGTCTTCTGCCTGTGTCCTGGGGGTTCTGGGACCCTCAAGATGCATGGGCAGGAGGCCAGGGCAAGAAACCTAGTGCAATCCCTGTCCAGGCTGTGCCACTGCATGGCTGCATTGAATAGAGGATCTCTCATCACTGTAGTTTCTCCTAGTTCTCACAGCACCAAGATTAACCCTTTCTGTTCACTTGTCCAACCTGGTTGGACATGGTCCTTTTCTCATTCTGGTCCTCCAACCTGGTTGGACCCTGGAGATTTCCCTTTTCCCCAGGATAAAAATGGACCAGAAAGGGTTAAGAACTAATAAGTACACCATCCACAAATGGAGGAGACGTGAAGATGAAATGCTTTGAAATGGAAAAATACATATATCTGTCCTCATCTACACATGTCAATGTGGAGCATGAGGAGAGGTTGAGGATTTGTCAATTTCTCTTACATTTTGCAACCACTTGACAATCTACTCAGAAATATTGCCAAAAAAAAATTTAATCTGTACAGGAACTATAGGAAAAAGTGAAACTATTAGTCCAAATACTTTCGAAATGTGACAGAGAAAGGATCTCCAATGAGAGATCGACCCCAAAGCATGGAAACAACAATTTGGCACATAAAACTACTTGTGAAAGACAAAAACCACTTAAAAGCATCTCTTCAAATAGTTAATGCTTCAAATGGTGCAAACAGTCAACAGGAAGGATTCATCCTTGCAAATTTTATTGAAATCTCACTTGAGGAGAGGAATATCACTTCTACATTTGGCTATCTGGGCCCATATTCATGAACACAAATGCTCCTGGCTCCCTATAAGACCATTTGCATGCATATTGGAAATAGGAAACTTCTAATTTCCTTGGGTCATTCATTTTCTGAATTTTAAAATATTGAACATCCTAGTGCTGGAACATGACCATAACAGAGACAAGGTTGTTATAACATGCCGAGGGAATACCCAAAGGGGTTCAACAGCAGTAACAACTTATTTTCAAATCCTTAAAAGCAATAAAGCTTCTTCCTGTATTCATGCCAATTTCTTGAGGGCTGAGAAATCCCTGGAAAGACAGTAAGGTGTAAGTGTTGAGGAATGTATCTTTTGTTTTTTTATAAACAGATTATGATATCTATGAATTTGTGACTTCGTTGTCCATCACACTTACTGTCACAACACTGTCAGATAGAATGAGTGAGGTGCAAGTAACAATCCATTCTCAAGGAGAACAGAGCATGGAATGCTGTACACTCCACAGAATGTCTACTGTTCCAAGAGGGAATACTTATGCTATTAAGTGTTATTAATTATGGGCTTTGGGTGCATTATCTCCCATGATTCTATTTTGAGCTGAATGATTTAGAAATATCAGTATTTCTAGTGCAGGTGGATCTCTTTGGATTTTAGTAAATTTCCATCAGCCTCATTAAGTCGTTGAAGTTTGTTGAAAGATGTCAAGTATGTTCATTAATATATGATGACTAAAAAAATGTAGAACACTTCACTATTCTTAGGAAAACCTTACTGGATCATCAAATGAGAGAGAACTATTATCATGCATCTGAAGGATATATTCTTAAAATGTGAAAATATCACTCATAAGTGAGGAATCAATGAGATTGCTGACAGTATGCAAAATTTGTGAAAATTCAAACACTCTCTTGAACATGAAAAAGAAGTTACTTATGCTTCAGGTATTTCTCTGACCAATTCAGAATACCAATAAGAAACATGACTGCATTAACAGCATCCTCTGAATGAAAATGATTGTCAATATGACCTTCCATCCCACTGAGAATCTGAGAACAAAATGGCAGCAAAACACCATGATCACAGCTGCATCTCAAGAGCACTGGTTTCCATATCTTTTCTAGAGGTATGTAGGTATGTAGGCCTCCAATTCATTTACGGCTGGATTTTGAATTTACATGACAATGTATGCTCAGAGGGGAATCATATAGTAATGCTCACAAGTTTCAATGACATGGTCCAAAAAGTGGCTATCTGTTCCTTGCTTTTGGCTCAACCTGAAGTCAACAGGAAAACAAAGACATGTCCATTAAAAAAATTAACATTTTCATTCCAGCTAGCACACCCACAACAGGAAAAATCTATCAAGATAAATCATGTGCAAAGGAATTTCTTGTTCCTGAAAAATTTCCATGTGCAATTGAACGCTAATGGGGTACAACGGTTCAATGATTTCAATATTTATCGAAAGATCAGAATCGAATTCAAATAGTTTAAATACTATATATGGTACACAGAATAAGCATCCACCTGAACAGTATCAGGAATACAAAATGAAACAACACAAATATTTGGCTTACACAAAAACTTGGATTTTCCAAAAAAAAACATGAAGGACTCAACCAACCAAACTGGTAGAGAGAAAATCAGCAGAGATCGATATTTTGTTGGTGGATCTTGAAATGAGATTGAAGACATGCAAATGTGAAACCTATTGAAAGATAGCTCCTCGGCACTTTGGGGCATTGCATCTGCATCGGAAAGCAAGTGGATCATGACCCGAGGAAAGCCTTGTTGGAGAGCCTTCTCCATCCACCTCAGGGTTTGTTCCCTGATTCCCTGCTAACAAAATATTTCTTGCAAGTTCCCACACCTCAATTTCATTATTATGCCATACATGCAAAAAAAAATACCAATTCAAAGGGAATAAATGTTCAGGCCTATTTTGGTCCATTAGGGAAACAAGGAGGCAGAAGAAGGAAAAAAAAAAAGCATGGGTGATGCGACCATGATGAGATAAATCAAAGCTCACCAGGGGTTTGCTCATAGTCAACAGTGAGTTCCTCTCCTCGTGTGATGTCCCTCTTGGCAAAGAAGGCCACACTAGGAAGGTTGATGTCCAAGCAGTCAATGAACACATTGTATGCAACAACGTTGGGATCACACTAGGAAATAAGGAGATATATTTCATTACATCAATTTAGGCACATGGCAAAGTTGCAAAAGTCAGAAAACTGAATGAGCAGTACAAACCCAGCTCAATGTTAAGCTTCCTGTATCAGGGAAATAAGACATGAACAAGAGGTCTATGGGAAAATCAGGTGAAAGGAGAAGAGATGGGACAGCTCAATAGCAATGCTAACCATTGACACTGCTTTTTTTTGTTCAGAAGCAGCTAGTTTTCATATATAAAAATATTATCCAGCAAAAAATTAATTCATGTCATCATTTACAAAGTTGCAAGGGTCAGTTAAAAAAAATTATCAGCCTCACTTTCAACATTTACAATAGGAGGAACAACTTTATTAGCATATCTTAGCATTGTAAGCATAATCTACTTTTCAATCACAACTGAGTGACAAATGCCCTTCAGGAAAACTCATCCCACTGGGAGTGCAGCTAGGGGGATACCATCTTCAAGCATCATCACTTTATGTCTTCCCTCTCAGATGATCTTTGAAAATTCAGAACAAGTGGAATGAATCTGTTGTCTTCATCTGTTCAATTTCTCAACAATTTTTGAGGAAACATGACAAAGTAGCCCGACTGTAATAAAGCATATTATATCTGATCCTGATTGGTATATGTTTGCATATTACAAGGAGGACAAGGACACTTACAAGCATGTAGACCAAAATCTTGATGACATGAGAAGCCCCTCCCATTTTTAAAAGGTAACTAATGACATAAGTTGGAAAAGTACTTACAGAATGATTGATGAACCGTGCTACATTCCCCTTCTTTGTGGCATCAATGGTATATGGTGGCTTTTCATTTTGAGCAAGATCAAGATCAAAAAGGTAAGTCAAACCTTCATTATCTGAAAAGAGAATAATACCAATTCATTGAGAAATCCGCCTTTACCTGAGCATTAGATTACATATATTCATTCATAGAATCAACACTGAGAGCCATTAGCTTGTCACCTTTCCCAGTTGCTCTCCTATCTGCCTCCTCTGTAGTGATGATTTCACCAGTATACTCTGTGATGAAAACACCCTTTTGGATCTTTTGCAAAGTTTTCACTCCCCACCCTCGGCCATCAGGAGTCCGAAAAATACACAATCTCACCTAAACAAGAAAAACCATTCTTTTTCATTTATCATTATTATCTCATTCACATTTCAAGCTCTTACCAAAGAATGGGAGAATCCCAAAATGTGACCGACTCAAAATAATGCACTGAAAATAACAGGAAAATGGTTTAAAAGCCTTGAATTGCAATATGTGTGGTAATACATTAGAACATAATGATTATGTATTTAAATTCACAACCTAATAAGTATTTATAACCTAGGAGAGGCCATGAAGTGAGAACACATTCAGATATGGGTTGATAAAAATCCTGAATCTGACATGAAAACAGTAAGAAGGTACTTGCCTGACGACCATTTTGCACAACACGATTTACACAAGAAGGTCCACAAAGGCAATTCTTATTGCACTCATAGATAGGGTAGCCACGTTCTAGTCGAACTTTCTTTAGTTTTGTGTAGGAAAATGAACCCTCAGACTGCAGAGGACAACAAGACTTCCGTGATGAGTAGCAATCCTCACAGGAACAGGATATGGGAGGATCATCAGGAATTGTCACCCCCTCACCAGCCTGCAAAAGGAAAGTCATTGTCATTACTAACAAGCAATGAAAGGCAGAATCATACGTTTTTTTATATAGTCATATATATCATGCCAAAAAAGTACTTTCATCAAAATAGAATTTCAAATTTTTATTTGCCAGTGACTCATTGCTAAGCAGCCATCAGAGGGTTACTTTACTCTGGCAATGCTTGCTTCCCTAACACAGCCCCAGTTGGCAACCTGTAATCTACACATTTTCTTCCATGTCTTTTACTCAGAATTCTTCATCTAATAAACTTATCTGACATGATATTGGGTCTGTAATTAATTTTAGAGGCTCTGCTGGGTTCTGAAAATAGGCCAAGAGTAGCAGAAGAATATATATTTCCTAGCAAGCTCTACACTATAGGCTAAGTCGAGGGTAACATGGATGTTTCACAGTTCAGACAATGCACATGTTGAAAGCCCAAAAGGTGTTACAGTGCCAGCCAACACATGACATAATCACTGTTGGTGACCTGAAGCTTTCATCCAAGGGTGTGATTGAATACTACACCTCTTTAAAAACATGCCATTCTCTGAAGAGGCTAATTGTCACAACATTATTCCGAGCTTCTGGATTCAGTTGGACACTTAGGATCCTCTGTGTCAAGAACTAGCATGAAAAGGAGAAAGCAATACACACATCTCCCACCAGAAGTCTAAACAGCAAGATGCCCCTAGTGTAATTAAGAATTCCTTAACAGTCACTCTTGACCAGATGGCATTTGTGGAGAAAGGTAAGGAGGCTAGGATGATAGGCAGTAATTCCTGACAGCAAAGGCAACTAAAATCACATTCAGGGTAGATTTCTTCAGGCGCTTACCTCATTGACAGTGATATATGTGAAATCCTTGGGAGGCCCAGTCATATCTACTTCATTTTCTACTCGGACAGGAGCTTCACGGGGGCAGATACGACAGTTTATCTCTTTCTCCCAGGCTTCCAAACGTTGGTGGTGGAGGATGTTCAAAGCACGGGGGCTCAGTTTAGACAATATCTGCGGGTTCATAGGCTCCCCCTCCCTCTTTCTGGACTTCACTCCCACAATCCCATGCCTGTGGGGGATTATGATGATTAAGGAGGACACAAGTGCAGGTTGATAAGAATGACATGAACTGTATCCAGTATGGTGTCTGGCTGCTAGCAGATTCTCTTGGCTTTAGAAGTGATAATGCAAGTGAGTGCCTCATGGGAAGAATCAAAGTGAAGGATGACTCTTCAATAAAAGTTCTCCGGATTAAAATTCATGTTCACAATAATGCATTAATGCTAAATTCTATATCTTCTCTTCATTCACAATATGCAAGTCCAGCAAGGTTCACCCCTTGAAGTTCAATACAGCTGGAGGCCTGCAAGTACACACCTGGGAATCTTATTTTTGCTAGCTGTTTTTCTGAAACAATGAGTTGACCTAGAAAAAGACTACAATATTGATTTAATCTGATACCAATGGACTCACCCCAGACCTGGAATGTGCTTGCTGGGTGGAACATACTTATATAGAATTCAAAATTTAAAAAAATATTTATTTAAAACATGGATCAGTCTACAGCAAAAATTAAAGAACTGTTTTTGACCAATTAATCGTCAATGAACTCTTTCCAAGTATTAGGTATGCTTTTGAGGACCTCAATAACTGAAAAGTAGCAAATGTTTGAAGCATGAAAGAGCTATGTAACAATCACCATTTTAAGCAAGACCTACTACCACTTGTCTTGCAAATTGGATTCTAAATGAGAATTTATGACAAACATATCACTGTGAATCTGGGGTTGGGGGTTTGGTTAACATACAGGTCCAAGACTGAATCTGACTGGTAGCAATATGGAGGCAGATTTTGGAGCAAGTGGCCATTTTCTGCAGTGAATTACTTTTTCTTCTGGGAATAAAACAATAGCAACTGGAATTGCATAGACATCAGCAGTACAGCAACAACTAATTGTGCTGGAGATATGGGGGTCTCTGCAGGTTAATAGATTCCAAATATCTGACCATTACACCAGTGAGGACATTATGGAAAAATAACAGACAAAAGCTTCTTCATTGGAATTAATATTGCACAGTTCCATGTTACTTTGAAATGAGAGACTATTTTCATATTTTAGGAAATGCATAAGATTGTATTGTTAAAGTAATCACTCCATGCAGAGACACTAACATAACAATGGCATGCCCCCTCACTTTTTCTTGAAAGATGTCAACAGTGATGCACAATGTTCCAAATGCTCTTCTTTTTCCCATGTGCTCTCTTCCTCTCTGTAGCCTTTCCACTTGATCAAATAGAATCTCTGGCCATCCTTGAAAATACAAAGGCAACAATGCACTCCTGAAATACTAGCATACTCTCCATGAATACATGACAATGGGCATATTCATATAAAACATGTGGAATTAAAGAGCATTCCAAGCAATATTAAGAGTAAAAAAGAGGATGATTTATAGCTAACCAAATTAAGGAGATTCCCAACAATTAGTCAGGAATATAGGCCTCTTTTTTTGGTCCATAGGCCTTAGGATAGTTGTCAGCATGTCCATGTATACAAAGAGAAAAAAAAGGAGGTAGAAGGAAGCAGGAGGACATCAAACAACATGAGGGAGTGTCAGGCAGAGGAAACTGAGGTGACATTCAGATAAGTTCCAAGATAAGCATCATTTTGGTAATTTGTCAATATTTGGACCTTTAATATTATAGGAAAAGCTTGACCAAAAAAACTAATGCTTCAGATTTTGGCTATTCTCTACAATGCCAAAGAGCATAAATATATTCATTGTAATATGACAGTAAAACAACAAATTTTCTGGCTTCTGGTCAGCTGACATGGAATCACTCATATGCACTATCTTAATTAAGCAGGAATGAGGAAATGTTCTATGCAGAAATGTCCCCTATACACCATAAAACATGCTTTGAGGAATACCATATAAAGCAGAAACTATAAATGTCAGGTGATTATTTTCTGGGGGAAGAAAGTGGTGGTGTAAATATACTGTCACACAAACTGTGCATGTACAGTACCGCCAGAAAGTTTGCGGCAGGTTGCAAAAATGATTCTTTTTCAAGAAAAAGAATTATTAAAAAGATGTAATGCTCTTTTTTCACATTAAATGTAAATGATTAACCATGGTTTTTATTAGTCAAAATTGTTCTCTTGCTTGTTATTTAAAAATTTTTTTTAAGACTTGCAAAATTTTCCCACCTGCCTCAAACTTTCTGGCAGTATTGTATGTTTATATATAGGAACAGTATGTTTGAACACAAACAAACTGTTTTTGCATGTCATATGACAGGCAGAAACATCACAGTGGCCAATTTCATGAATTTAATTCACAAATAATTTTTTTTACATTAGTGCAGATTTTCCACTGGAAAAAACCTACCCTGAGGGACAACAATTGGTGTTGGAAATCCTGCCAGATAAGGGGTTTAAGATATGTTTGCAAGTAAGCAGTTCTCAAGCACTTAGTATGCTGTGGGCATGGTGATTCAAACCAAGCATGGCAATGCATTTAACACGTTGACTGCCACAGAAATGCTGGCCTATTGATTTTCCCATTCAGTGAGGCGCACCAGTGCACCTCGTGGCAGTCAACCTGTTAAATAGATATCACCATGAACTAGCTTTCTCCAAGTTGTGGGTTTGAATCACACCTACATTGTCCTCTGTTTTCTCTCTTCACAAGGAAAAGCATAATGTTAAGTTAGAGGGTAACATTCTAACTGTCTAATTATAAATAGCAGATCCCCTGAAATGGCCATACACAATCTCAGAAATATCCTAAGTTAGATAGCAACAATCAACATCTCCATAGATCAGAGCAGAATGGATAGTGCTAGTCAGGGAAAAGGATAGACACCAGAGCATGGAAAAGGATGTTGGGGAGACACAAGACAGCAAGTATGACCATCTCTCACAATTGCCAATATAATACCTATGCCAAGACTGTAAAACATGTAATTCTTTTTACATATTCCTATTGCAATGACTCATCAAGGAGGTTTTCTGAAAGTTTGAATAAAATATTAAAATTTCCAACTACATTATTATTTTTATAAGTTGATATCAGATTCTGGGATTTAACAGGAAAATACTTGACCAGCAACTTGAAGATAAAATGTGTCAAATGCTCAAAAGTTAAATTGTTCAAAATCTGCCTCTCATGGAAGGGAGAAATCTCATCACAGGATGGTAAAATGGAGGCAGTAACAACCAAAAAATGCATGCCACATAGCCAATAGAAGTAAAAGGAAAAGAACTTCTCAGCTTGAAAGTACTTCAGAGCACTCACTTCTGCAAGAAAGTGAGCCAGGATGTGCTCCACCTCATATTCTTGATGAACTGATTCAAGCAATGCTGTGGAGGATGCAGAAAGATTGGTCACATCTTCAACTGTTAAACGCTGCAGTGGGATTTGAAAGTCCTTCGATTTCAACCAAAGAGAGGCCTTGGCATCAGAGGAAGCTTTGTGGTCTCTTGAAGATCTAGGCCTAACATTAGGCCTGTCACCTTTTTTTACATCATTTGGTGAGCACAAATCAAACTTGACCTCATTAGCACAATTCGCACCCTGTGGAGCTGTTTTTAATGTTGGAGTCACCACTTTAAACAAAGAGAAATGTTCCAGCTTTCGTGCCATCAACGTATGATGATCATCGTCTGATACTAGTGATGATTCATGCACAGGTTTGCACATATCCTTTTTATTGGGGACCATGAGTTCATGAATAGGTCCAGGTTTTTCTCTCTCACTATCAGTCAGTCTGACTTCATTTTCATTTTGATGAACTTTTCCAAATAAACCCATAATGAGGGGTTTCATCATTGTGCTCTGTCTTTCTTCAGTGAAATAGCCTTTCCTGTCTGAAACATAGAACAATACAAAAAAAATACTGCCTCAGCTTTCAAAATGTGAGACCAAGACCTAAGAGCCCTATTACATAGGACTATAGCTAAAATATGGTCCTAGGCCTACTGTAAGCTTACAAACAACAAAATCCACCCATGGAAGTCTATCTATATTATAGATTGCCTATGTACGAACTATATGACCATGTGCAATTATGTAATGACTAAATATATGAACCAGAAATCAATTAAATTGGGAGATTTATGCAGACAGGCTTCTTTTTCCAAACACTTCCAACTTCATGGATGGGACTGCAATTCTATGGTATGGGGGGTGGTAGTCATGGGTAACATTGTAATATTCCTTGACTATTTTCAACCATAGTTGGTAATGGCAATGTCTCATGTCAAACAAAAGGAAACTGAATGAGTTTTAAAGGGAATGATGCACACAGAATAAATTAATTTATAAAATCATTATTTGCCTGAAAAACACTCAACATTGAGAAATAAGTGTTGAAACCTCATAAACTGTGGTATAGTCACCTCTCATATGGCAATCATGGTCATAGTATTATGCTTCTATATGCCTCAACACTAGCTTTCCTGTCTGAGTAGTTACCTGGTCAAAGGAAAAATATAGATGTGCATACAAAAAAAAAAACACTCAGCAAGCATCCCATTGAATTGGAGATATTCCAATTAAATAGACTCTGGAAAGTGAGTCATACAGTGGACTGCAAAAAAAAAGGCCATAAGAAATCTGCAAAAAAATTAAGGTAGGAATGAGTCCATTACTGGTGTTGTGCAGTACACTTTTGCTGCTGAAATTCAACAGATGAATAAATTGTGCATGCCACTCCAGTCCTGACTTCACTACAATTGCCTGTGACTATTTGAAAAGAGCGCATCATGCAATCGAAAGAGCAAAGATAACTTGTATAAGTGAGGGCACTTCAGTGATGTTTTTTCCTATCTCAGGTCAGGTTCCAACAAGTCAACTATGTACAACATTTGCTTTTGTAAAGCATAATTGTTCCCAAAATTCCATGTCATCAAAGATCACAATGGGATATGACCTGCCTGCAAAGACTTGTCCATTCAAGTATCAAGGCAGCTAAACATGAGGCAGTATTGAGGCAGTATCGTTGGACATGACAACCCATGCAACTCATTCAAAGTAAAAGATCAAAACAATCCAGCATTATTGAAAAAAGAGGGCTTTTGGACCTTGTCTATCATAACCACAAATTGCCAACTAAACGCAACATATTGTTATAGAAAGAACACATTCAAAAGTAGTTTCTTCAGTGATTGTTCATATGATGATTTAATGAGCATTTTCTCTGAAAATAATACAGCATTATCAAATAATGCTTAGTTCAAAAATTTACCCTAACTGACACTGATACATTAGTGCATGGCAAATGTCATTTTGAAAATTTCACACATTCCATAGACATGACCACTTAGTATGCTGATAAGGAACAGGAGTTGTTCCATATTTGTCCCAATCTTCCTCAATTATTTATTTGCTATGTGCATCCTTCAATGAGATTTTCTGTTAAAGCAGAGGTGATTTTAAATTCTTACATGGAGACAGACTTTTATGTGTGAAAAACTTTAACCTCCTCCGACTCAAAAAAAAAAAATTAACCAAAGATCTGACACGTGTACATGACACACTGATCTAAAGTTAAAATATGCTCACGACTACGTTACAGTCTGCAATATGCTCTATAAGAAAGGTTCCAGCAAACTACTCTAGCAGACATATGTACAGGGAGCCAATAAATTATTTCCTCCCAACACATAGCCCAAGCAACGAGACGCACAGGGATGTTATTCCAGTTGACCCTTTCACTGGAGTCGTGGTTTTCGCGGAGTGTGGTGATCCTCTGGTCGTGGCATTCTAAGCGGGTGCCAGGAACGATATATGCATCGTATGCATGTATGTGCCCTTTCGTACGGAGCGGGACATGGGCGATAGAATTGTTTGTCCCTCCATGCGAACATTTCGAAAGGAACTAAGGTAACTGTAGGTATTCGCGGCAGTGATGCATTCGCGGCACTTTCAACTCATATACGCTATCTCAGGAGTAAGGGCAGCGGGCATGGCATGGGAGTAACGATGATAAAAATCAATCAATATCTGGCAAAAATTAATGTGTCAACATGGTTATTCTTTCGTGCAAGACGGTGCGTGAATGGAACCGCCAACTGTTGCGTGCGGATGCGCGTACTTGTAGAACTAGTCAGGTGTCTTTCTAAGCTAAGACCCACGTATAATAACCACTCATTGATTTTCTTTTTCTTACGTTTGCGAAAAAGTATTGATGCCTGAATAGTCATAGGATATCAACTAAGATGAAGAACTACAGTAATGACTAGTACCTGCCATTCAAAGCACCAAATCTGGGGTGCCGCGATCGCATAGTTTTCTCGACCGAATGCGTCTGCGGTCGTTCCTTGCCTCTTGTGCCGCAATTGGTGCATCTTCGTGTGATATCGCGCCACAGTGTATGAATGAATGTCCAACGAGATAAGACAAGAGTTCGAAAAGAGGCTCAGTTCTCAAGGTAAAATACACGTAAACATATACAATTCGTCTGAATGTCGAAGAATTTGGAAGATCTTCACATCTGGGTGTTCGATGTCTCAGTTTTGGAGTTCAGAATATTTCAAGGAGTTGGAATTTCCCCGATTGAGGCTAAGACTTAAGTTTACCTTGTTTAATAAATATTTCTTGAAATTATTTGAATATAAATGTTTATTTCCTCGAAGGTTACAGTGACACGAAAGGAAGAAAATGGACAGTAGAATTATGTTAAAAAGGAAGATGGGGGGGGGGGGAAATGCCAAGGAAGATCTAAGGGAAGCTTTAACCCTTTGCGGTTCTAGTCCGGCAATCTCCATAGCGTTACAAATAAAATGGACCGGAAAGGGTTAAATAGGATTGCACATGGAGAAAGCAAAGCTTGCAGAGAACAACCTTTTTCGTTTTACATTTTCATCAGCAATTGTACCTAAGAAAGAAGCTCTTATACTAGTATATTTTTCGTTTTCTTGACGCCGTTTTGTATTCTGGAAATAAAGAGTTTTTTTTTTTATATTTATAAGTTGGGTGCCGCAATTATGATACTCCAATAGCCGCGATCCCCTTGTATCCCCTTGGACCTCCATGTATTTATATGGGGCTGACGCGAACTGATTTCACCCTGCCGCAGACCCAGACACGTCGTGGCGCAATGGCCTATCGTTGAAAAGTATGGGTTCTCTTGTTCCAGGTTAGCTTAGCCACCCATCCATGAGCTGGAAATCGGTGAAATATCACAATCGGCATTCTGGAATCCCTCCACATCAATTCAGTGAAAACCGTATGGCGTTCCACTTTAAAGCAGTGATTTTTTAAATCCTCGAAGTAGGCTTGCATATGCCGCGAATATCCACAGTTTTCATACCTTAACCCTTCCAGACCTGAATTAAGGCCGCTATCGGAATAATATTCTTTTTTGCACTTTTGAGCTCCTTCGTGATTGTAATTGAAATTTTCATGCTTCATAAGTAGTTTTCATATTTTGTATAAATTTACCATATCATATCATACCATATATTATATATTATACATTTAATTAAATAACTGAAGATTACAAAACTAATGGGTGAAAGAAGGCCTCTGATGGAACTGAGCTATGCATAATTGCACCCATTGCAGTGTAATATGGAGCGGTCATGAGAATCCTAAGAAAATGCCATAGACACAATGTGAATGCAATGTCCATTGGAATTGGCGCCAGGTCTGAAAGGGTTAATGTCTAGCGGCAGCCAGAGTTGTGAATGTCTGTTACACTGGTTATTGATGACACGGTAAGAACGAGGATGAAAAGCACTCTCCGCCGGTAAATAACTTTCGGGAGAGCTCTAACCCTTACTGCCAACGGGGGGAGGGGGAGGGGAATTATTTCCTGCCATCTTGTAATTGATGTTTTCCTTGAAAGCACGGAGAAGCGCGCCTGACGTCCCGTCCCACGCCTTCAAAATTTAGAGTATCTAAAAACGCCGTATGTGTCTGGGCGATCCACATTGGTTGGCTTCGTGACGTCACTTACCTTTACCTTTACCGTTACCTTACGCCACGCGGGCTCCAACTAATTGTTTAATTCCTTGTGGTGTCTGGCCTGAATCTGAATATGCTTCCCCACCCACTGGCATACAGTCGTCAGAGACACTTGATCGAGAGTTCCAGCGAAATAAGCTCATTCATATATAAAACTAACACATGCAGATGTGGTCGTTCTCATGTTAAATTAGTTGTATATTACCTCACGTTCACATATGCTATATGTTCAGTACAGTAGCTCGTGCGGAGAAATACAGTTACTGCACATGTTTGCGATAATACCATAAACATTTCGATCCTTTATGATGACCATGCGAAATGATGCTGAAAACGGACGTTAAAAAAAATTTCAGCGTTGGGTCCAAATACACAATTTTTAATTTAAAAAAAAAAACAGCGATTGAGAGGTAGCAGACGGGACGATCCCTTTCACATTCCTCGATCGCCTTATCGAAACTCCTGCATGAGTCGTCATGCATTTGTCCTAAATCGAGGGGAACTAAAAGACCTTCCAACTATGAGGAAATCCTCGTGATCGGTGCGCGAAATTTCGAGCAATGAACGAGGAAAGATAGGACAACACCCACTCAAACTTGGGAGAGCGCTGTTTTTCATTGGAATGGTGTATTTCAAGATAATAAAAAAAACATTCCTGAGCCGTCATCTCCTGTCATTGCAGAGTGCGGAATAGAAGTTTCGAACTCTTACTCCAGGAACTGTAAGGTAGTGCAGCAATGACTATGGCTTCGAGGAGGTAAAAATAATACGCACAATTACAATTTTTGCCGGTTAACTGCGTCGCGACTTGCTATCGGCCATTTCACTCAGAACCCACAGGCAAAGCTACACGCTTCGATGTTGCACGGAGTCCGTGTTTCCCACTATCCTGCATGACCACCAGAAGTTCATTTCA